GTTAAGGATTTACAGCGAGACAGCCAACACTAGCATATTGTCAACACCCTATACACATGAATAGTGTATGAGATCATTCTTGGAGGCGACCTCAAATCCGGAATGAAATTCAGGAATTTATGATGTTGTGCGTTCTATCAGAAAATATGTGTTTATGGCAGAAAGAGTAGTGTGGTGGTATCAGATCAACTTCAAAGAATGAAAAGGAAGTGACATGGCCGAGATGCCCAGAGCCTGAGCCGTGTGCCCGGGAAGCCTTTGGAAGCAGTCGAATGTGCTGTTCACAGACGTCGTGTGAGCAGGGTGTTAAGTGAGGCAGTCACAGAGACAGAGACGCGGGCCCTGCCCTCCCGCCACTTGCTAGTTGTCCTGGGATCACATCTCCTTTAGACTCCTCCGAACCAAACAACTTTGTCCTCTTCCCTGCATGAAACTTACTCTCCTCCCCTTGAATTCTCTGTCTCAGGTCATGGTATTATCACCCAGGTAGGTGAATAGTGACCCGCCATCCTTAATCCCGGGACTTGTGACTATGTTACTTTATATGACAAAAGGAACTTTGCACGTGTGATTAAGGATCTTGAGATGGAGGTGGTTATGCTGGATTATGGGGGCAGCGTAATCACAGGGTCCCTGTGAAAGGGAGGCAGAAGGAGCAGCTTCAGGGAGATTGGCAAATGTTAGGCTGCCAGCTTTGAAGATGGAGGAGAGGCCGTGAGCCAAGGAATGCAGGCAGCCCCCCTGGAAACTGGAAAAGGCAAGGAAATGGATTCTCCCCTCAAACCTCCAGAAGGAGCAGGCAGCCCTGCCAACACCTGGATTTTAGGACTTCTGACCCCTAGAGCTGTAAACCAGTAAATGTGTGTTAATTTAAGCCACTAAGGTGGTGGTAATTTGTTACAGCAGCCACAGAAAACTAACGACCACGTGTTAAGAGGTCAGGATCTTTGGATTTGGTTGCTGTAAGCTGCAGAAACTGGTACAGACTATCTTAGGAAAAAGAATGAGTTCAGGGAAATCCAGTTGTCTCACAGACTGGTCAGGCGGCTAGAAATCTAGGCTGAGAACCAGGATAAGGACCCAGCAACTCTGGGTGTCCAGGTAGCAGCGATTCCCCAGCTGTCTCCTCTGGCCACTTCTGCTGGAACAGGTCACCTCCAACATGCTTTCTACCTTTGGATAGTTCACCTTGAGATTTCAGAACCCAGGAAGAGAGTGCGAAGGGCTGAAATTGGGTCACATGCCTGCCCTCTTGGCTAGGGGAGGACAGTGCACCTGATTTACAGCCCCCTGAGACTGCTTTATGGAGGAGAGGGCTGGTCTTTCAAAAAGAAAGCAGATGCTGTGGGGAAAAGGATCATGCACGATGGGCAGCCAGAACACAAGGCCCCGCACCCCGTCACGCGGTAGTCTGCCATTCCAAGCCTCGCACCCCGGCTTGTCTTTCTGGACTCCTCAGTATACCACGTTCTCCAGCCACACTGAGCCATCAGATCATCCCTCACACCGAGCTCTCTCAAGTCACAGTGCTCTCCAGGACCCTGCCTTGCCCTTTCTCTGGAAAATTCTACCTATGAGAGTAAGCAAAGTGAAATAAGCCAGTTAGAAAAAGGAAAACACTGTATGGTTCCACTCATATGAGATAGAGTAGTCAAACTCATAGAGACAGACAATGGAATGGTGGGTGGTGGGGGCCGGGCGAGGGGCACTAGGGAGTTAGTGTTTATTGGGGACAGTCTCTGTTTTATAAGAATCGAGTTCTGGAGATGAATGGTGGTGATGATTGCATAACAATATGATTCATTTAATACCACTGACATGTTAAAGTGGCTAAGATGGTAAATTTTGTGTTATATATATTTTGACACAATAAAAGAATTGTAAGGAAAATGCCATAACCAAATCTCACTTTGATCAGTTCCTGCCACTTTCCTCTCGTTGCTCATGTGCACTGCTAGTGACGTGCCTGACACGTGTTCCAGTTGTTTGCGTACCTGCCTGTCTGCACCAGCTGACGGGATTCTCTGAAGATGGGGATGAGGTCTCCTCATCTTGGATTCCCAGAGTCGCACACAGAAGACTCTCAATCTGACCTCTGAGGCATTTTCCCTAACTGTCCTTTCTCCCACCATCCCAGTATCTTCTAATCAACGCCTTACGGTCCTTTCTATCTTAGACTTTGAGCAGAACATGGTCCTGGTGGCCTGTGGACCATACACCACGTCTGACAGCATCACATATGACCCCCTGCTCGACCTGATCACCATCATCAACCACGACCAGCCAGACATCTGCATCCTGGTAGGAGGCCCTCCCAGGGCACCTTCTGGGAGGCACCAGTGGGGAACCCTGGGGTTGGCCATAGAGAGAGGTCCAGTGTGGCTTTAAATTCTCAGGAAGCACATCAGATTCTTCTCCTTTTTGAAAATATATTTTACTCTTAGTCCGCATCTTTAGAGAGGTGTATGCAGCCTACATGCCTTCAGTTAATCCAAAAGCGTGACATTTTTTGCCACCCTTCACTGTCTTTTAAAGCTCAAAGCACTACGGTTCACATGACGGTAGATTTCCCTTGCTAGGTCTAGAAAGTCAGGAAAAAGCCCGGCATTGTAGGAGGCGGTACCACTGGTTATGGGGCCCTGGTGGCCTCTGTCCAGGGCTCACGCTTTCTGCCTGTGATCTTGGCTGCGTGCCCCCGGCCCATCTGCTAACTGTCCCAGGCCCTGCAGGCAGCCTCGATGGGACAGATGGGCGCTGAGCAAAGCACTGCTAGGAGAGGTTATGCGAAGGTGCTCATGGACATGTGTGGTTCTGACTTATTCTTTTGGTACCTTTGTTTCTTTCTTTGGGCTTATTTGCAGTTTGGCCCTTTCCTGGATGCTAAGCATGAACAGGTTGAGGTGAGTGACGGGTCGGGATGGGGGGTTGTGGAGACTTGCATTCAGATGAGACCTCACTGTTATTTTCATCTCTTGGAGTTTACTTTGCAACTAATCCCTGTGGCTAATGAGAAAGACATTGTAGCTGGGCATTTTTTATAAAGGTGTTGAATTCGAGGGCTTTAATTCACCACAACACAAAGCCATTGGAAGCTGGGGAAGGGAGATACAAATATATGAGTCCTCGTGTTCCTTTATTTATGACACCCGCCGCTAAGGCCCAGGAGCGCCAGCACTGATGCAGGTGTCTGGGGGTCACGGGGCTACATTGTGGAAGGGCCTCACCTGGCTGCTCCCCTCGGCTTGATGACTGTTGTCTTGCTGTCCTTGATGCATTCATACAAATGGCCCTTTCCCAGACATGTTTCCTATCCTTTGTCTCAGGATATTTTACCTTCCACAGGAAAGATTTCAAAATGCTTGTCCTTTTGATGTTTCGGCTTATATTCAAGAGGATTAATTCTTCCCCCGTCTCCTTTCCTGCCCCCAGCCAAACACAGCTCCTTGGGGACAGATTTGTTCCCCCGTGCATCTCCTTTAACTCCTAGCGCAAGAGCTGATACCCAGGGTCATCTAACGAACGTTAAACAAGGGAATAAACACCAAATGTCTATCCTCTAAATCTTTTCCTTTCTCTCCTTGCAGAACTGTCTGCTGACGAGTTCGTTCGAAGATGTTTTCAAGCAGTGTCTACGAACAATTGTCGAAGGGACTCGAAGGTCAGAGTTCAGAATGCTGGGCAGAACCTTAAGCTGCCCAGGTTTCTCCAGGGCCTCCCGTTAGAAAAACAAGCTACTCGAAAGTAGTGGTAGCTCCTATCCTTTCGTCCTTTTGAAGTAGAGATCAGATAGAGCTCTTGAACTTCAAGTGCCCAGACGCGGAGTTAAGAGGCATCTTGGTAAAACAAAGATAAACACACACTAGCCGCTCTCCTTCCCCTCTCCCTCCTTCCTTCCTTGTCTCACTCCTTCCGTATAGACCCACATTCCACAGGAATCTTCCCAGGATGCTTCTGAGAAGTGATTTTGTTGATGACTTACACAGCAGAATCCCAAGAGGCCCTAGACAGCTCGTTGTGGGAGTGATTGTTTTGGGGCGAGCCCAAGTCCTTCCCCTGAGTCACTGCTTCCCCACGTTTTGTGAGGCATCGCCAGTCGCCAAAGCGAGCTGTGGTAGAAACTCAGGGAGGGTGGGGATCTCGAATCTCTGCCACAGACCAAGGAGAAGGAACTGCGAAAGGTCACGGTGGTGATGAAAGATGTGTAGTTCTAATTTAAGAGAAAAGGCGCCATTCCAGGGAGAGTCGAAAACTACAAGCAGAAGGTTATTCAGGAAGTTGACATCCTCACTTCCTGACCCTTTTCCTCCAAGGTTTCCAAGAAATTAATATAGGTGATGGGTGTTCTCTGGGGATTTGCTTTCCTGTAGTAGAGCTCATAAAAAATATTCCTGAGGCTAAGCTTTTAAAAGCAAGTCTGGAACAAAGGTGGTTTTTTAAAACAAAATGTATGATCTTCCACTGCTTGGCTGTGAGAACTGATCCCAGAGTCAGGGGACTTGAATTGTGCCGGTGACAGCCTGCAGCTGGATCCACCCCTCCCTCCCTCCTTTGAGTGAAGATGACACAGGTACCTTCCCTCTCACCTCCCAGGTTTCACCCTGAACCAAGCACATCAGCCCCGGAGAGCTCAGGAGGTACACCCCGAAAAAGCAGGAGCAGGGCTGCTGTCCCTGTGCTGTCAGCCCTCAGATCTCCTCGGGGACAGGCGGGGGCTGTGTGGCAGTGCCCAGCACCGGCGGGCTGCTGTCAGTGTGAGATCGGGTTCTGGTTTGGTTCCTTGCTCCATGTGGTGTTGACAGCAGTGGTACAAAGAACAAAGCAGGCTTTGTTCCCCTGGGGGCAGCGCCCAGCACCACCAGGCACTTTCATCTGTGGCCAGTGTTTGCCCCGGGCTGGGGGGCTGCCCCACCTTTCCCCAAACAGTATATAAAGGGTCTTCATTTGGAGAATTTCTTTTTATTCCTGAGAGGTCAGACCTGCAGAGCATTAAGCTGATTTATAAGGAACCAGAGTCAGTGAGGAAGCACCTCCTCCCTCACAGGGGCCCAGCAGAGCCGAGGACCCTCCCACTGTGATGTAAGAAGTTGTGCAATCTCGGCATAGTTGGAATTTTCTCTTGTATCCCTCCCCTTAAGGCCAGTGCGAAACCATGAGTAGAAGGGCCGTTTGCCCTTAACTATCGCTCTTTGGCGCCTGCACTGAAACAGCAATTCTGTGTCTGATCAGCGGCCAGCTGTCCCTCCCCTTTGTGTCCATCACAGACTGAGCACTTGGGCTCTAGAGCAGGGGTCCCCAGTCCCTGGGCTGCAGGCTACTACCAGGCCATGGCCTGGTAGGAACCAGGCTGCTCCCCAGCGCCAGCATCACCGCCTCCGCTCCACCTCAGATAAACAGGCATTAGATTCTCATAGGAGCCCCGGTCCCTGGTGCCAAAGAGGTTGGGGACCACCGCTCTAGAGCACTGACTGTCCCGTTTAGGTTACCCCCGGCCTGTTTGCCAGACTCCAGCACCCAAATAGGTGGATTTGGATTTATAGTGAACTTTTCAATGTTAAAGAGACTATAACTAATACGCAAAGGTCCTTCAGTCTCATTTTCTGATTTCCTGTTGCAAAAGTCTCAGTTTACACTTGGAGCAGACGTGACACACAAGTGACAAGTGTGACATCACCAACACCTTTATCCCATACAGAGGCAGCTACGACCTGTAGTACATTTGGGAAGGCCACATATTTTAAGAGGGAGCTGGCAGTGAGAGCTGTCGGTGGGTTTTAAACAAGCCCCCAGCGTCACACTTTATGCAGATTTGCTTTACAATAGACCCGTCTGCCAAGCTCAGCTCAGGGAACCAAGGAAACGAGACTTTACTCCTTTCTTCTTTTGTGCGTCTGGGGAGGATAAACAGTTGGCCCCCGGAGTTAAAGGTTTTTCCTTCACTCCTATGTTGTAACCCCAGAGATTCTCCTTCTGTCTCCATCAAAGGAAACATCTGTCAGCTGCGCTTTTACTATTGCCGTGAAGATGTCACGTTGCCATCGTTCTGAAGATGTCTCTGTCCTCGCTGTCAAAATTGTGACCTAGTGTTTGGTTAGCCAAGAGGCCGCAGTCTCCAGACTGGCCTGCCCGGTCTCTCCCTAGCAAGGAGCCCCATCTGGGGAGCTCACGCTTTTAAGCCACATCTGTTTGCTTATGGTAAAGAGTCAGAACGTTGGTTTCGGCTCTGGCTCTGAGGCTCTGATTCTGTGGTCAAATCCTGTCTTTCTAGATTTTCTAGATCCCAATTTCTTCAGTTTTCTACCAAACAGTAATCCCATCCTCCCCACCCCCAGTGCAGCATCACACACAGCTGAGAGAAAGTATGTCCTGGGTGACCTACGCCTCATCAAGGTGGCCGTGTGTACATGAGAACAAATGGTCCGTCACTCAGTGTCCCATGCCCACCTCTCGTCATAGGAGAGTTCAGTTCTGAAATTCTTCCCCGGAAGTAGGGTCACGGACAAACTGACATTTTAAATGTCGTCCAGCTGCTCTAACTCAACAGCCCTTGTTTTTTCCCTCTTCTGATGATTTTTTGATGAAGTAGCTCCGGCTCCCACCTCGTCTTTGTCCCGTCGCTGAGAGATGTCCAGCACGAGCCCGTGTACCCACAGCCACCTTTCAGCTACTCCGACCTGCCTCATGAGGACAGGAAGGTACCAGCGTCCCCTCCTCGACCAGCAGGCAGTCAGAATCAAATGCGCTGCAGGTGTCACAGCTCTGTCCCTGAAGTGGAGGGCGAACATGTCTTTTTGGGGCATGCATACGGCCTGAATCTTTTAGAGGGCACATGTGCTTATAATTTACTGTACGTGAGTTCGGTCCCCTTTTCAGTGATCTGCCCAGCCCTCAGAGACCCCTCCCCCCTTTCATGGGAAGAAGTTTCTGGCTTTGGTATGCAGATGTATGTCTCGGCCCCTTCTCATTTCAGCGAGTGCAGTTCGTGTCTGACCCCTGCAGCCTCTCCGTGAATGGTGTGGTCCTTGGCCTGACGTCCACGGATCTGCTGTTCCACATGGGGGCCGAGGAGATCAGCAGGTGAGGCATGTGTACCAGCCCAGCGGGCAGGACTGTGGCTTTCTGCCAGCCCTTTGGCCGCGGCATGGGGCCACTGGAGCCTCTGTTTCTGTTACCACTTGTCTCTTCAGTGTTTGAGACCCCAAAGAACCACCTCCATCCATCTGCACTTAATTTATAGTCATAGAAGTTTGTCTGCTTTCCTTTTGCTCCCATGTTTGTGACCTAAACAAGAGTGGGTGTCCCTGTTGGTAGAGAATGACCTGTGAACTTGCTCTGAAGGCTGAACTCCCCACCGGAGCAGTGTGTAGCTCTGCAGAGAATCAGACACAGCTGAGTCTGGAGTGTAGGCTCAGCAGTCGCGTGAAGATGGGTGTGTGCTCGGTGGCTGAGGTTTGAGATGCAAGGTCACCCCGGCCGCACACTCGCCTCACTCTAGTACAGACGTGGCGTGCTGTCGCACGAGCCAGTGCTGGCTGTCATGGTCCTGATCACAGGAATTCCTAGTCTTCCCCTTCTCAGCCTGGCACCCTGCTCCCCTCATGTGGGCAGACGGGGCCATTTTGTGGGTTGGGTCTTTAAACTTCCCCGGAGGGACCCTCTTGTCACTGCACCTTGGCCTTGCAGCCTCTCTCTAGTTTATCAAATCCTCCAGTCTTCCCCGAAGAAAAACAAACTGAGAAACAAGGTTCTGCGTTCCATGTCTTGCTTTTCTGCCTTCCACAGTTCTTCTGGAACTTCAGACAGATTCAGCCGAATACTGAAGCACATCCTGACCCAGAGGAGGTGAGTCGGCTCACTGCGCCACGAAGATCGCTTTGGGGTTACGGAGCTCTGACAGATTTGATTGTGAGGGCCTCCCCCAGGCCACTACCAGGGAACTCCACCATGACGACGAGCCTGTGTTCTGTCCTGCAAACACAGAAATGGAGGGCGGTCTGTGACAGCAGGGGACCAGTGACGTGGAGGGATCCACCTGGGAAGGGGGTCCAGACCCAGCCGCCGCTCATCCTTTCTCTCCATCCCTGTAGCTACTACCCGCTCTACCCTCCCCAGGAAGACATGGCCATTGACTACGAGAGTTTCTGCGCCTACGCACAGCTGCCCGTCACCCCGGATGTCTTCATAGTCCCGTCAGAGCTGAGGTACTTCGTGAAGGTAGGTTCGATCTCTTTCCCAAACACGCCAGAACTAGTCTTTGACTTTCCGTCCCAGGCCACCAGCACCCGCTCTTCATGGGTCCGCTGATGCGGGTGGTGGCCTCGTTTCTTGGGGCAGGTGGTAGGACTAGAAAACAACTCTGTTAGTAAAATGCTTAAGTAAACGACATCCCTTGCTTCCCTCCACCCCGGAGGCCCAGCCTGGGAGCCCCAGAGGCAGGAAGGACAGCCTCAAGCAGTGGTCCTCAGGCGGGGCGCTGCCAGGGTGACCCAGGGAATGAGTCACACGTGCACTTGCCTGCCCCTCTCCTGGATTCTGGTCTGACCTCCAAGCGGCCCTGAGAACTTGGAGGACGCTCTCGGGTCATTCTCATCTCTGCCACCAAGGTCCTGCCCACCTGAGGGCTGGGTCCCTCCTAGGGACTGCACCCAACCGATCCCCTCTTGCCAAACCAGAGCCAGCTCAACCTCTAGAGGTAAACCTTTTTTTACCCTGGAAAACAGCCAGGTCAGGTGTGTCTCCCAAGTCTGGGAGCTGATTGTCACCCTGTCAAGTCACCTTCTTTGTTCTATTTCCGAGGCTCCAAAGGGATTCAGAGTTTTCCAGGGATGTTGACGTATCTGACCTACGATGCGTGTGGTTGCCTTCATTTCCATTCTGTAAAACCCTCTTTGGGGTCTGACCGTTAGATGATTTCACTTTTGTTGCAATAGTCCCACTCATTTTGGCCTTTCCAAACCCAGTCTCCTCTTCTTTCCCAGGACGTCCTTGGCTGTGTCTGCGTGAATCCTGGACGCCTCACCAAAGGGCAGGTGGGGGGCACCTATGGCCGGCTCTACCTCAGGAGGCAGACCCCAGAGGCCGGGGAGGGGAGGCGGAGTCCATGTGTTGCTGCCCAGGTGGTCAGGATCTGAGCCTTCAGGCACTTTGTCCCCCACTGTGCGGGCCTGGAGGCCCTAGGACCCAGGACTATCTGACAAGATTCCGCCCCGTTGGAAGGTGAAGAAGAGGAGGCGGCCACAGCTGGGGCGTGGAGGCCGCGGGGGCGGGCCCAGCACAGAAGACATCATGCAGCCGTCTCGGACTTCGAGTGAGCTCCATTGGAAGAACGCCTTTGCTCCTGATACACGGATTATAACGTGAACTGCCTGTGGATGCAGCACACTTGGAAAAAGCGAGAAGGCTTTATGACCTTCTACACGAATAAGACAACTTTTGGAGAAATAAAAGTAAATTCTGAGTGTAACTTCTGAGTCTAATCTAACGAACAAAGAATGTTGCCTCCTTGACCTGTGTCCAGAGAAGGCAGAGTGTCACACTGGGTTTCTTTCTGGCCATCCCCAGCCCCGATCCTCATAAGGCTGCTCCCGAGGTCCCCATGGCCTCTGTGCTGAGGTGTGCTGGGCCGGGGCCACAGAGCTGGGCTGCGGAGCCAGCAACTGGACACATGCCCAGCCCTCACATATGTGCTGCGAACCCAGCCTGACCTCCCCCTGGAGTGGGCAGCCTCGCGGCGCTGTGCCCAAGCCGGTGCTGGCCCCACCAAACTGTGTGGTGCCCGCCCAGAGCCCAGAACATGTGGACAAGGCCAGGCCCTCCAGGGTCCCCTGCACAGCCCCGTGCCCAGGTATCCTGGCATCTGGGGAAAGGCTGGCCCTGGCTGAACACGGAGTGGGTTTCTGCGTGAGCTGGCAGGCTGTCCTGCCTCACGTGCCAAAGCCATGAAGGAAGACCCCAGCTGCAGGCCCAAGGGGAGGGTGCAAGGGGGCAGCGGGTGCCGTCACCTGTGCCTTGAGTCAGAGATAAATAAGAAACCTGACTGTCCAGCCTTTGCCTCCCGCCTCCAACAGTGAGAGAGAATCGATGACACCTGACTGGACTCAGGTAAAATTGGTCTCCCTTTGAAAAGCAGATGCTGTAGCATTTTGTTTGTTTTATAGGCACCTCCTCTAAAAAGAATTAGGGACAAGCCCAGCTTGGGGAAGCTGCTTTCTCTCCTCCCCAGGATCCCCCACATGTGAAGCACCCGGCCGTGGTCCAAAGGGCAATGTGACTTAACAGCCTCCGGATGTGGCATTTTTGGAGCCTGGCTCCTCTTCTACAACCTGATACGGTCACTCCTGTTCAAGAACGTCATTTATATTTCCACCAAGACCGATGTCAGCTCAAAACCCTCCCCTCCCTTCCTTGGGAAGCCCTTGCCTGGGAAGATTAACCAGCAGGCCCTCAGCCACGATAAACGGCTCCCAGCCTATCACATGAGCCCATGTGTGGCTCTTGGCAGTTATTCCCATGTTGCTTCTGAAGAAGCCTCATGGGGAATGGTAAAGTCTCAGTCCCCACTTGGCAAAGTTCAGAGCCTGCCTCCCCTCAGCAGACTCAGGAAGACCCAGCAGCCGAGTGGGATGGGGGCGGCTGGGCGGGGTGGGGCTGCATCCTGCGGGGAGGCGTGTGCAGGCCGGGCTGGCTGTTGTGCGCAGCCTCCTGGGGCAGAGTGAGCTGGAGCTCGGCATGAATGGGAGCGAGAGCCGTTGCCTGGATACAAGTCGTGTGACTGTTGAAAATGATCTGGGAGGTCCAGAGCAGGCTTTCAAAACTCAGAAAGAAAGCAGAGTGTGAAGCCAGAAGAGCAGACAGGTCTGGCAGAGGCGCGCCTCTCTGCCACCAGATGGTTCTCTTGCTCCTGTCAGGAAGTCGATACCCATCAGCCGTCAGCTGACTGTTCCCAGGCCCCTCTTCAGCTGAGTCACCAGTTTCCTGAGCGTCATTCCTCTTGCTCATGGAGACTCTTGCTCCCACCTGTGCTGGGGCACTCAATCTCTGGCTGAAGTTGGGAGGGGGCACTGGGGATGGAGGGTTTAGGAAGCCAGGAACACGGGCTGGGCCAGGATTCCTGGGCCCCATCTGCTTCAGAAGCCCTTTCGATAGAATCTCCCTGGTCCTGTTTGTGCCCTGTGCCCTTGAGACAGGAGCCCAAGGTTGAAGCTCTTAACCAAAGTTCACCTTCCCCACCTCAGAGGCCCAGCCCCGCCCCAGCCCTGCCCTTTGTCTCTTCCTCACTCTGGGGAGGAGCCTGAGGCTGCCCTCCCTTAACCCCTGCGGAGCTGCCTTTTAGGATTCAGGCTCTGTCTAGAAAGGTCAAGGGAGAGCTGCTGAGGGAAACAAAAGCCCCTCATAGTTCCCTTGCGTGGGAACCCAAGTGGATGCCAAGAACGGGGACGGAGGATTGGGGCGGTGGGGGACACGGGGGTGACGGCCAGGGCGGGGCCATGACTGTCCCCTGGGCCTTCCATCTTGCTCTCCTTCTGCAGCCACTTCGGGCTTGGTGTTTCCTTTCCCAGCCTGGGCAGTTTGGGTTGAGTTGTCACTTTATTTGGCACACGTTTCCTTTCCCCTGAGCGTGGGGCTCGTGGCTGAGCCACCTGAGAGCCAGGCCTGGGTGGACACGCGTGGCCTCTCCAGACAATGAACCCTCTGACTAGACATGAAAGGCCTTGACCGACTAAGGTGGTTAGATTTTTTTTTTAACGTTTTAAAAATTGATATTGAGATATAACAATAACATAAACTTCACCATTTTAATGTGTACAGCCCAGAGCTTTTTAATACATTCACAATATTGTGCAAACATCACCACTATCTAATTCCAAGATATTTTCATCACCCTAAAAAGAAACCCCATACCCATCAGCAGTCACTCTCCATTTCCTTACTCCCACTCCCTGAGGACCACCAACCTACTTTCTGTCTCTGTGGATTTGCCTATTCTGGGCATATCACAAACACGGAATCATACAACGCGTGCTCTTTTGCATCTGGCTTTTCACTTAGCATTGTGTTTCCAAGGTTCCTCCATGTTGTAGCACGTGTTAGTGCTCCGATCCTTTTTATGGCTGAGTAATATTCCATTGTACAGATATACCATACTTTATTCATTCATTCATCAGAGGGTGGACGTTGGGGTTGTTTCCACTATCGTGAGTAATGCTGCTATGAACACCTGCTCAAGCTTTTGCATGAGCATGTTTTCACTCTCAAGTGTTTGTATACCTAGGAATGGTAGGCGGGGCTTCAGATTTATGAAGGAAGGGAATGCAAGGGATGGGGGGGAGAGAGGAAAGGAGGAGAGGGAGGAGGAGGGAAGGACAGAGGGAGAGAGGGAGGGAAAGAATGACAGGCCTGGACGGTGCTTAGAGCCAGACTGAGGAGTCCAGAATGCCCTGCGAAGGCGTTTGAACTTGATCTATACACTCCAGCGAATCTCTGAAGACTTCTGAGTAGTGGAGGGACAGTAGCCAACCAGCACCCTAGGAAAAGACTGGCGCAGAACTGGGAGGACCTGGGGGGCCAGCTAAGGAGAGGGGAGACCAGAGGCGAAGCTGACACTCCTGGCCTCGCCGTCCGGAGGTCACCAAGGTGGCCATCCCTGAGGCGGGATTCAGTTGGCTGTGCTCTGGTGTTTGGGCCTCTCTGACACCCTGGCCTTTGGCATTTTAGGTTTTCTACCCCTGAATGGCCCCTCTTATCTCTGCTCCCTCTGGGGCTGTCCTGGAAATGCCAGGGCCCCAGGGGCCTAGGGGCTGGCCTGCTTTTGGACCCACGTGGGCCGGGGCCAGATCCAGTTCCCCGACCCAGATCCACCCCCCTCCTCAGGCTCCAGACTCCTCCCTGCCCAGAGCCTGCCTGACAGCTGAGCCCTGCAGCTGCCCCGGCCCAGGGGCCTCTCAGAGGTTTCAGGGACAGCTGCTTCCCTGTGACCCTGCTGACCCCTGATCCCTGCTCGCTGCTCTCTGAGAGCCCAAAAGTCTGACCATCAGAGGCAGTGGCGGGCCCACGACGAAGCAGGTAGGAGCAGGAGGAGCACTGGGCCAGGGCCTAGCGACACGGCCAGTCCTGATTCCGGAGGGCTGTCCCCAGGGCCCACTTTCCCCCTGAGGACCCAAGTCCCCTTCAGATGTTCTGCCCCTTAGAATATTTCTGGTGACAGTGGTTCACCTCTGGGGATGGGTGTCAAAGGGCCAGGGGTCAGGAGCCGGAGGGCTCAGAGAGTTCTTTGTCATGTCCACTCCCACATCATGTTTGAAATCTTCTGCCATGAGCATGGATTTACTCTAGAAGAAAGAAAAAACATATATTTATACACACACACACACACACACACACACACACACACACCCCACCACCACCCACCACGCACCCCGCTCCTCAGTGCTCTACATCCTGTCGCATTTGCAATGTCCTCCCTGGGAGTCGGTCTCACAAAAGCTGCTGTTTGTGCCTCACAGCAATGTCTCTGAGTCCAGGCCCTTCGACTTCCTGAACCCTTGTCTCCCACAGCCCCCTTTTCGCCATCCCCAGCATCCTGCCGTCTATTCATTAATTCATCGGGTCTCTACTATCAGGCATGCCCTCTAGGGCAGTGGTGGTTACGGTCCAGTGGGGGGTGGACATGAGTCAAATGATGATGGCACAGAGAGGACAGTGATCCAGAGTTTCTCCAAAGAAATGACGAGGGCACTTGATATCTACCCGGGGTCTGGAAGGCTTCCCTGAGTGCAGCATAGTGAGCTGAGAACCGCAGGATGCGCAGGAAGTGACCGGGTGAGGTGAAGGGAAGAACACGTGGAAGGAGCCTGCCCGGGGTTCTGGGCGTGGCCGAAGGGCCGATAGGCCGATGTTCGGAGCAGAGGGAGATTGAGGCTGGAGAGGCCAGCAAGGGCCCTGCCCAGGGTTTGTGGCACTGAAGCATGTTAAGCGGGGGCATGTGGCCATCAGATGGGCGATTTGCATCAATCACGATGTGAGGTAGAGAATGGGGAGGTGGCACATCGTCTTCACCCCAAGAATCCTCCATCTCCATTGATGGCCCCACTATTCTCCCTGTCCTCCCCTGTTCCTCCCTGGGAGTCACTCAAGCTATCGCCCTGGGGTGAGCCTGACCCCCACTTCCCCTCCCTCCATGGCCCTGGTCTGTCACCAGATTTCAATCTTTTGACCTCATTATCTCCAACTCTGGCTTTTACCCCACAGCTGAGTCAAGTTTTGTCTCTCCCCTGAACCAACTGTTCTCAAAGTGTCCCCCGCCTCCCTCCAGGTCGCCTTCTCCGAAGCCAACTTTCTAAGTGCAATTCTGCAGCCATGTCATGGAAAAGGAAATTCAAACAGCCCCGAAGCCTCTGAAAAGACGGTCGAACTCACCCCTAGCGAGAGAAACACAAACTAAAACTACGCCGAGGTTCCTTTGGCCACGTTTAGTGTTTACCTTTCAGACAGACACAAATCAAAAAGGGTAAGGAGAACCAAGTCCCGTGGTCTGTGCGGGGGACCTGGTACCTGGCATATCCCCTGAGAAAAACAAGCAGACAGAGCTGACCAAATGACAACTGCACGTGCCCTTTGATCCCCCAAGTCCCTAGGAACTTATTTCAAAGCTGTGCTCTTGTGCACAAGATGACTGACTCCCTGTGGTGTAGCTTGTCATAGGAAAGGCCTGGGAACAACGCAAACGGTCATCAGCTGAGACCGACTTACATGCATTATGCTGCACTGGAATACTATGCTGCCGACAAAAAGAGAAACCCAGGACACACACTGTGTGCTGATATGGAGTGACATAAGTACAATGTCAACTGAAAAAATATAATGTTAACTGCAAAAAGCAAGGCGCAAGACGTGTGAATAGCAGAGGCTCAATAAAATGTGATTTCCTGTGGCCCCGCAAAGCCACCCTACTCCCCCTGACGATAGAGCCTGCCCTCCCTCCATCCCTACCAGGGCCTGCTGTACTTTGGGGTTCTACTTGTCTAAACATTGCCATTCATTGCCATTCGTGTGAAAAAGATGGGAGGGGCTTTGCTTGCACACGTAAAGACTATCTCTAGAAGTGTTTACAAGAAACTGATACAACGCTGGTTGTCTATAAGGAGGAAAATTGGTGCCTGGGGAACAAGGGTAAGAGAAAGACTTTTTACCTCTTATGACTTTTAAATGTTGAGAGGCATGAAATCTTTATCATGTCAAACAAATATTTAAATGAAAAAATATAATTCCAATCTTGTCGCGCCTCTGTCAGGGTCTTTGACTCCCTTCCATGGCAGTCAGCGGCCGTTGTGAGCTATCGCCTGCCTTTAATCATTCTTTAATGGTCAAGATTCTCAGTGCCAAGTGACAGAAACTCAATTCCAACTGCATTAGACGAAAATCGTAATTCGTTCGTCTGTATAATGGATGTCTGCTTCAGGCATGGCGGGATCCAACGGTATAAGTAATGCCATTGAGGTTCGTTTTCTCGGCTCTGCTTTTCTCTGTGCTGGCTTTATTCTCAGAAATGATCTTCCCTCAGGGTGGCAGAGCTGGTCACCAGCAGTCCTTGGTTTGTATGCCTCTTGGCACTTGTAATTCTAAAAGTCCAGGCAAGTCCCCAAGCTGAAGCTCGTAGGGGTCACATGCTCATTCCTGAACTATTCCTATGCCTCAAATTGGCTCGGCCTAGACCTCAGACCCATTTTTAGAGAGTGGGGGTGGGCTCAGTCACAGTGGAGACTCTGGAAGATTGACAGGCAGCCACCAGAATAAGACAGAGGGATGATGGGCAAAGAAAACAGTGCTTTCTCTGCCCACTATGCCATCGTCCACTGGTCATCGTGTTACCTGACCACATCATGTATCTACCTTTACTCCTCCTGGCCTTTGCCTCTGCCTCTGCCTCTGCCTGCTCCCCCTGGAATATTCTTCCCTTTGTCTACCTGGCAAACTCCTACTCATCCATTAATACTCTGCTGAAATATCATCTCCTCCTTGAAGCCTTCCTAACTCTCCCGTTTCCCCATCTCTAACAGAACAAATCCTTCTCACTGCTGTTCTTTTTGGCTTTTCATTCAATTCGTAGTCACTGACCGAGCCTCATGCGTGCTGGCCTGGGCTAGACAGAGGTGAGCCAAGGCCGGCCTCTGTCCTCAAGGACTTCCATTATGGCACGAAACATACCGTTTTAGACCTAGTTATTTGTTTTACTCGGAGCTCTTTGTTCTCTGAGAGCTGGGGCCCCAGCCTTGGCCATTTGTGTCTTCTCCTGTCCAGCACAACCCTGGACACAAGCTTGACGCAAATATGAGTTTTCAAAACGAATCATGATTAGGTAGGTGCCTTGAAGGGGTAGGGTGTTGACTCTGTTGACTGTTTCCCAGGCTAAAGGACGACAAGGCAGCTTGGGCACTCCCAGGGGCTTCTGGGAGGATGTGCATGGGCCGGTCCCTGCTAGGACAGGGCTGTCGCCACTCTGGAAACCCCCACAGCCTTGGGCCAGGAGACAAACCCCAGACCCAAAGGAAAGTCCCCCAGCAAGGCCTTGCCACCCAACTCCCAAGGAGGGCTCTAAGGCAGAAGCTGGGGTAGTTCCAAGGGGACGCTCGACTTGAACGCCTGCCTCTGCCGGGTCAGAGTTCTCTGAAGGGGGATGAAGAGCAAGGAGGGCAGGGCTAGACTTGGCCAGTGCCCAGGAGAGGAAGGAAACAAGAAACAATTAAGGAAAAATCCTGGGGTTGGCTCAGGCCACAGAGCCCCGCAGGCCGAGCTCAGGCTGGGATGGAGGAGGCTTCCTGGGGGGTGGGAGGGGGTGGAGCTGAGGCTCCTCCAGGGACCTTGTCTCCTCTCACTGCTCTTAAATTTTCTCAAAATTATCACCGCCCTTCCCTTGTGACCCTCTGCTCCCAGACCTGCCCGGGGATTCCTGGTTCTCATAATCTCACCTGCCTCCCAGGGACCCAAGTTCCTGGGTAGGTGGGACCGTGGAGAGCTGGCTCCAGCCTGGTCCTTCCTGCAGTTCCCTTCATCCTCCCAAGCTGACCTCAGAGGAGTCCCCAGGAGGAGGGGGCTTCCGACTCTCTCCCCCTGGGCCCATGAGGGCTGGGCCTGCCAGCGGGATGATTTCCAGGAAGAAGAGGCTGGGAGGGGAAGGAAGGGCTGAGTCAGTCCCCGTGTGGTGATTACAGGGCCCCGTGGGGGGAAGCAGCCGTGAAGTTGGAGAGGAACAGACTCGACCCATCCTAGAGCCAGGAAGAGGCTCCAGGCTGAGAAGAAGGAAGTTGAATGCCCGTTCACGGTTTTTCTCCATCTCAGCCTTCCTTGCTTCTAATCCCTCCCAAATGTCCTTCAGGGTCCTGCCCCCTCAGCCACCAGAGAGTCTGAAAACCCTTCCAGCAAGAACAGCCCAGGTCCTGGCTGAGGCATCAGACCCTGGACATGGGGTGCAGGCCGCAGGGGGAGGCAGTGGGTGGGGCGATGGCCTGAGTGTCTGTTGGGTCAGAAATGCTGGACGCCCCAGCTGTCTCATGGCTCAGGAGCTCAGCCTCCCCACCCACACTCAGGCCCTTAAACACAGACTGAAGAGTTGCATAAAAAAGCCAATTTTAGTAAATTAAATCTTGTTTTATAAATCCTCATTAATTGCAGGGTTCCCACGGCGGCTGAATGTGTGTACACAAAGTCCTGCCCATTCAGCAGATCTAGGAGGAGCTGGCAGCAGGCTCCCCAGGGCTTCTTCAGGCCCTAGCCAAGTGACATAACATCATTTGTGAATGGGGAGAGTGAACCACCTACCTGAGTGCTTGTAAAGCACAGAACCCTCCCTCAGGCACGTATCACACTTTGGATGTGGGCTTCATGGGGGCGATGGCAAGAGTATACTAAGCAGCATGAGGAGCCAGCATTTGGTAGAAACTTGTCACATCCAGGTGGGCTTAAAACAGTTCCCAGAGTGCAGATGGCGGTTCCTCTGGCTTTGGGCCCTGGTCGGAAGCCCTGGCTTGGAAGCCAGGCTGGACAGATCTCTGGTGGCTGAGCAGGGGGAACAGGGCTTGGGCAAGGCTGGTGGGGCCAAATTGGCTGCTCTCTACCCGTCCCTGGTACTCCCCAGTAGCCCTCCCAGAACCTTTCCAAAGAGCTCTGGAGTTGGTTCCCAGGATTCTGTGGCCTTGGGTGAGCACCTTTGTTGCTCCAAGCTTCCATCCCTGCAACTTTCTGACTTGTCACCAGCTCTAAATGGAGCACCTGATGCTTGCAGACCCCCACCCCGCAGTGGAAGGCTCTCAGCAGATGGGTGGGGGCAGGGGCTGCACCTCAGCAACATTCCTGCAGGTTCAAGGGGCTTCATCATTAGAGTCATTCGAGGTCAGGTGGCAAGGCCAGCCAACCGTCCCCCAAAGCTCCTATTATATCATGTCCATGAAATTGTTGCCTGCTAAGCCTATGTGTTCCCATCAACAAGACACATGTAATTTCCTTATCTGGTTTGGGACTCGCTTAAGTCCAATTTTACAGGCAAGGCGGTTCAGAAAGGAACTGTCTTTTACCTGTGGACAAGTCAGCAGCAGAGCCGTCTCAGAATCTGGGCCCATGGCTCAGAGGCAACGCTCAGGGCTTGGCAGGGCTGTTCTGCCTCTCTCAGGACTCTGCTGTGGGATGGAGGGGGAAGCAGAGGTGACAATGGCTGCGTGAGCATCCTAATGAGGGGTGGAGGGCCCGGAGCCTACATATCTTGACATTTTCAAGCCGAGCGGATCACCGTTAGCGCCCTGAGCTTCAGAGTCCATCTCTGTAAAGGGGGATAGTGATGCTGGCCCTGCCCACCTCGCTAGGCTCCAGAGGACAGGAAGCACTTGGTAAGGGGCACAGGCAGGCCTAGGCAGGTGGGTGCTTGGCAGAGCTTGGGTGGCACAGGGCGGGAGAGGTATAACTTTCACCCACTCACATCAGAACTTGGCCCAGGGCCACCACATACTCTCTTCCTCGACTGTCTAGGCTAGTTTTCCTCTGAGCCACCAGGCCAGTCCACTTGACTGATGCTTCCTGAGGAGCTGCGGGAGGGGCTGGGAAGGTTCAAGTTTAAAACCTGAAATTCCCTGATTGGTTTTCTATTGCTGCTGTAAGAAATTACCATGAATTCGGAGGCTTAAAACAACACAAATTTATTAAGGTGCAATTCTGTAGGTTAGAAGTCCAGTGTGGGTTCCACTGGGCTAAGATCGAGGTGTCAGCAAGGCCTTGCTCCTCTGGAAGCCCCGGGGGAGAATATGTTCTTGTCTCTTCCAGCTTCTAGAGGCCACTCACATTCCTTTGTTTGTGGCCCTGTCCTCCATCTTCAAAGGAGCGTTTCTCTGGCCCATCTTCCATCCACGCAGCTCTTTCTCTGACTTTTCTCTTCTGTCTCCCTCTTCCCCTTTTAAGAACTCTTGATATTACATGGGACCCACCTAGATAATTCAGGGTAATCTCCCTATTTTAAAGTCAGTTGATTAGCCAGCGTAATTTCATCAGCAACCTTAATTATTCTTTTACATGTAACAAAACATATTCACAGGTCCCAGAGAGCAGGCGGACATCTTTAGGGGAGGCCATCGCTCTGCCTATCCCTTTTCCCTTCTCCCCATCCCTCCCTCCCTCCTGACTTGGCTGACCTCACCCCTTCTTCCAGCATCTTTCTTCTTCAGGATGTTTTCCTGGTCTTTCCTCCCTAAGAGTCTCTCCCATATTTATAGAATGGACGCTTTTACCATCCTGGCGACACTGTACTGTCACAGCTATCACCCTCCAGAAGGTAAGGTCCCCTCACCCCATTATTACATACCTTTCTTTTGCCCCACTCTTCTTAGCACTGACCATCGGGAAGGGTATCACTATGTACTTGAGGACTTGGGTTTCCTCCATCTCCTTTCATTGGACGGGAGGTCCTGATCCAGAGGGGGCCGAATACCCAGCAACAAGAACAACGCCTGGCACCTCGTAGACGCTCAAGTATCTGATGAATAGCTAAGTGGAGCAAGGGCACAGTTCCTTTCAGTCTATCTCCAGTGCCCCATTTAGGGCCTGCCCTTCAATAAATTTTTCTAGTACTGTATGAATGAATGAATGAATTAATGAATGAATGAATGAACGAACGAACGAACCCACTGTTGGAACAAAACTAAGTATGGATCCCACCGCCGCCCCGGAAGCCAGCTAGCGCTATGGCAAATACCAGTGTGCCCAGGCCATTCCGCCTGCACACCCTCAATGCCCCCTTTTCTCAGGGGTGATAAACTCCTGGAAGCTCTCGAAAGTTTGCAGTATTTTACCGTAGGCGCTTTCAAGTCCTCATTCATTCCTTTAGTTGTCACTGAATGCACTTGTGCAGGCGCCTCCCAGACCCAGCCCTGCAGGTCCGAGGACTCTCTCTGAATAGTGAAGAATTCGCTCTAAGGCTGCCGCTCCTTCGGTCCTACTAGAACCGAGAGTCTGGGCTCCGACAGGCACAGCTGGAGCTCACAGAGTCCAACCTAGGTACCCGACGCCCTCTGGCCCGCAACCATACGAGCCTAGACTGGACACAGGAGCGGGTAGGGCCCCGGCGCTGAGCCGCGGAAGGCGTAACCCAGGCGGGGCCTCGAGTGGGGCGGGAGTGTGGGCGGGACCTAGCTGGGGCGGCCCGGGCATTGGCTCCGTGGGCCGGGGGCGGGGCTTCAAGGTCCAAGGTCTGCACAGTAAGTTCACAGCCGGATTCCGCTCCCATCGCCGGGCGGTTCTAGCTCCCGAGCTTTTGCCGCCCGCGGGTCGGCTGCCTGCGTATTTTTAAGGTGAGTTCGCGCCGGGGCTCTGCAGCCTGTCTGCGGCTCCGAGGCCCATCCCTGTGGCACCCCGTCCCAGCCTGTGCCCCGGCCCCTGTCTCACCTCCGCGTAGGTCCTTTCCCGGGAGCCTTGGGCTCTACGGTGTTTCCCGCCTGCGCCTGGGTCTCGGCAGCCACGCCCGCTCCACCTTCGCCTGCAGGGCGCCGTGCATCCCGAGCCCGAACTCCGGGTTCCGCCCTTCACCCTGCGCCCGAGCCCCACCCCACCCACGGGATCCAAGACTGCCCTCCCGCCGACCTGCGTCCTCTCCCGGGCTGGGGGTCGTATTTTTAGCCGATGGCGAGGTGTCCTATCTTTAGCCATGGCCGCAAGCGTCCTGAAACGGATCCTGGCTGGGCTGGGCTGCGCTCAGGCAAAGGGCGGGGAGGGGTCGGCTCCGGAACCCTAGCTGGGGCTGAAGAGCAGGACCCGCGGGAGTCATGGGCGGGGGCCCGCACGCCTCAGCTCTGGCCCTGCGCCAAACGGACACACGGCCATCGCCCAGGCAGGGAAGCACTGGGGAGGCTCCTCCCAGAGCTTGGAGATTCTGGCAGGGTCCCCGATCTCCCCTTTACCCCATGATTTTCTGATTGTGAGACCAGAACCCCCCGAGAGAAGGAGATCCCGCAGACCGTCTGCCTCTGTTACGCGAACGTGCAGCTCCTTAGGGGTGCCTGCCTGGAGCCGGAGGCTCGCTGGAGACTCCGGTGCGCGCCCGGACTCCTCCGGGACGGGGCGATAGAGCGGGCGCGCGCGCCATCTAGCGGCCGCGGATCCGAGCGCCGCTCAGCACCGGAACCCTGGAGACTCCACGGCGGGCGAGGGGGAGTCTGCGCAGGCTGTGTCGGGTGGGCGGGAGAAGGTGGACGCCTGGGGCCAGGGGCCGTTGGTTTTTGGTCTCGTTGAGAGCACTGTCCCCAGATCACAAAATGTTTGAGATCTACAGTTATTTGCTGAATGAAAGACAGGGCTGACAGTGACATTGATGTTCTCATCTGCACTATGTAGAGGTCTCTAGCAGCCCTCTGGTAATGGCTTTATTGTCAGCCCATTACGTGGATGGGGAAGGTGAGGCTCAGAGAGGAACGATGTCTCTCTCAAGATCAGAGTGAGTCCCAGGTGGAGATGGATTCAAGGTTAGTCTCCCGGTTTCAAGGTCAGGGGGCTGCTTTTTGAAGACCCCTGGTAGAAAGTGGCCTAGTGTTGTGACAAGAGGGCCTCTGCCTCCCAAAAGTCATTTTCTCTGAAGGCCCAGA